AATCCTAATAGCAGCATTAGGACAATTGAAATGGCGTATTGCAAACAAGTTTAATATTTTTATCCCTAATAATTAGGATAATTAATATATAGTTGGACTAGCTGGAGTGCCTAACCGTCCCTTGGACCAAAGTTATGTAAATTCATGACTAATGAAAGGCTATCTTGGGACATTAAATGCTGCTTCCCTTATATGTAATTGTAAAAACACACGCAACAACACCCATAAAAACTGCAAAACACAAAATGTGAAACCATAAATTTGTATGTTTCTCCGCATGGACCCAACACACCTTCATGCCAAATTTGGTGAAAGTCCATCAGCAGGGAGCGAAGTAGTGGTAAATAACGCAAAAGAAATACAACAGCAAAACACAAATTGCAAAACTGACAATTTGTACGTAACCCCGCATGGACCCTATGAACCTCTATACCAATTTTGGTGAAGATCCATCCACACCATGCGAAGTAGTTACATGGGCATGCAACAGACAATACTATTATATTCATATAGATTACACACTTCATTAAAGCGGACCGATGTTCCACAACTTATGCATCAATTATGAGAAGGATGACTGGTTATAACACCTCACTGAGATTATCATGATTTTAAGGTACGTGACATTATCTCAGACAAAACCTATTTTTGGTTAATGTGTTGGAGCTAAATGGTATTTATAAATGATTATTTTTTGCTTTAATACTAAAGTAACGATAATACTGCTATTTATCAATGACAAAAACATGATAATCATGATAATTATGGTCTGTTATAGGATCTTATACATATATCAATAAAAAAAAGGGTTTGACAGAATTATATTTGCGACTTTAGATGTAACGATATCACTCATTGTTATCCATTGTCCGATGGTTACTACATATATATATATATATATTGTGTGTGTGTATTTACCCCCTACAGATGGAGACACCAGTACACATAATCAATATGGCTGTGTAACAGGAGTGAAACAGTGCAACATTTTAATTTATTCTTCATGAACTTCTTTTTGTGTTGTTTTAATATACGTCATAGCTATGCAAGTAGAACAAATTCACTCGATCGTACCAAAAAAGCTGTGATTAATAACGTATAATAACATATTAACAATATGTTGTAGAATAAAGAGATTGGCTCGGCCACGGAAC